TAAAGCAATATATTAAAAGTCTTGACTAAATTTTATTTTCAAATTAACAGAACTTGCTACTTTAAAAACATGCAGTCCCTGTTATAAATTTAACGAAGAACTAAGATGGTCATTGGTCAAGAAAAGGTTAGGAATTACTGCTCATAGGAAGAATATTATAAAAAGGTGAAAAAGTCCATGAGGCAAAGATGTAATTTGATGAATTCATTTAAAAAAACTTTAGTCTTCTCTTATGACAAAAGGAAAGCTTTCTTTTTTAGAAAAAAAATGTTGAAAGTTAAGCGAAAAAGAATTCATAAAAAAAGGCGATGGAGTATGTTTTTTGAAAAAATGAATTACAGAGGTTAATTCCTGATAATTTTGATATCTGATAACAGCATTTTGATCGATATGTTCTTCTATTTCTCATTTGAAATTCAAAAAAAAAAAATCCTCTCAATTCATTTCAATAAAATACATCCAAAGTAAAGTTAATGCATATAATTCCAATATAGAAATGGTAACAAAATTTTTTCTTCATTTTTGGATTTGTTTTTTTTTGAAGTTTCTGATGACTTAAGGATCAAGATTAGTCGATCAATTAACCAATTAATTGCTAATTTCGATAATGAGAATCGAGATTTTAATCATCTTTTGATTTCTTTTGCCTATAAAATTGTTAAATTATCATTTCATTATTTTCATTCACAATATCATTACGTAATTATTGTTGTATAATTATCAGATAAATTAGCAATATCATGATTGGGTTTAATTTACTGTGAAGCCATATTCATAAACTTTTATTTCTACCAAGGGTTTTTAGCATGAAATTCATTTGAATAGATGAAAAGCTTGATGGTTGCGCTATTTACCTCGTCCACTTGTGTTTTTCTTTTGCAACCTTTCTGTCAAGTAAAAAACAACCTAGCGACGTTGTATATACAGAAGCGCTAATTGAGAGATTGTATTGGTTTGTTTACATTGTTTACCGTAATATTGCTCAATTTTTTGTGATCAATTACGGAATAAAGCAAAAGAAACGCGCCTTTTACGCAACCAACAAGCGATCTATGACACGTCATTTCGGATTTGAAAGAGAATATCAATATAATCACCTATGCTAAGGTGAATAGCCATATTATTATTATAATTAGTCCACTAGAAATATCCATGTTGGGTACTACGTTTAAGAGATTTCGATTGATCAATCTCAATAAGTAAAACTATAGGGATAGGGTCATTAGAATAGCCGGGTCCTTTTAGACAACGTCATAAAAATAATGCATGAGCATTTGCGCGTTGTTATTGAAATTGATGAATAGGGAATTAATGAGAGGAGTCAAGAATAAAATGACGGATAAATTTTGGATTGTTAAACGTTGGGAAAAGTTTTTTTATTATTGCATTGATTTCGAGTTTTTGAAGACTTAGAAGTTTTAGTTCATTTATTTTCATAAACATCTGAACAGATTGGTGCTTCTAAAATTTATCTTCAAATCAAAAATCAGAGATATCATTCTTTTTATCAAAATCGCTTTTTATCAAAAAAGGATCGATTAGTACATATATTTCATACAAGCTTGCCAAAAGCAAAAAGATTGGCTAAATTTGTTCGTTTAATTGGAGGAGCAGCTGAATTACCACAATCCGTTGTACTCATTTAATTTCATAAACGGTGCGACAGAATTGCTTAATAATTTCGTATCAGAATGGTCTTTAAACTGTCACTCTTAATGTAGTGAAATCTTAAAACTGTCACTTTCAATGTAGTAAGATCCTTAATAGTGACGCTTTTGATGTAGTAAAATCTTTAAACTGTCACATTTAATGTAGTCACAAATTTGTAATCATCTACTTTCACTATTCTTATTGTTATCAACATTATCAATTAATGCGTGTTTCTGTGCCTTATAAAGAATTTGTGAATGTTTGTGAAACAAACTGACATTATGCATCAAAAAAAAATTGGAAAATCTTTGAATTTTAAGTGCTTTGATCTTTTTCATAGAACATTAATGCTGCTTAGTACATCTCTTAACTCTCTCACTAAGTTTTTTTTCCTGTTAAAAACATCAAAAAAGTTTTACAGAAGGACTTTGTTCCTTTGTCGTCATTTAATTTAACTCACCCATATCGAATATATTAAGTAAAAAAGTCTAGCGTCAAAATTGTTTAGTGCATTTTGCACGTGTTCAATGGCATCAAATACCATTAATTCAATTGAAATCTTATGGATGTAAAATATTCACGAGATGGTTTAAATAATTGGTTATCTACAGAAGACGACAGAATTTTTGGATAGGTAAAATTGCAATTTTATTTTTACTATATATAGTATATATATGTATATATATATATATATATACATATTATATTGGTAATATATATTTCTAGTAATATATATTATAATAATATATATTATATTTCTAAAAGCTCCATCTCTCTTCTAAAAATGTGAATGAGAAGAGGATAGACATATGTTTGGAATAGCAATTGTTTTATCAAAAATCATCAAAATGAAAAGTTGGTAAGTCTTCTTTCGTATATTATGTTTGCCAAACGCTATATAAGAAAATTTTTCGACCGTTTTGTATTTTATTCCACTTGGATAACAATAATTCTATATCGATTAAACGTGTATATGTAAGCAGTAAACATTGATTAGTACTGCAGAACAAGTCGAAGTAATGAAGTACCGCATGATTGCACGTATATTCCGCAGACTTTATTGCGCACTTGCATTATTGCACCCTCTGAATTTATGCTAATAGCAATGGGATGATTGAAAAAAATGAATACTTACCGAAAACCACCCTCCATTTCATTGACATCGAACAACGATGCATCTCACAATTCATATTTAAGTCATCAAATTTAAACAATAACTCTTCGATTTTTTTTTATCCCTCATAAATTTTGCTTCTTTTATGGAACAATAGCACTTATCGGAAGAGTCGCAAAGTGTACAGCGGAACCATTCCGCGTATAGTTTTATAGCGCTATGCGTAATTTCTTCCAACATGCTTAAATGAGTGAATGAGTTTATGTGCATGCATTTGTGTGATTGCACGGTTATTCGGCAAAGGATTGACAAATCCGTCAAATTCATTAATTTTTCAGAAATGATGCGAGACGTTAATCACCAAACTGTCCCGGGTTGGAAGTGATGCTTGATCTTTTCAAAATATTTAGTGCATACAGTAAATATTCAAAATATTTACTATAAATGCTCACATGGATCGAAGTTGGAATGCTCCTTCGGTTTATTTCACGAATTTTCTAAAAAAATACAATTGGGGAAATCCCAGATAGTTCATAACAGAAACTTATCCATTTTTCCTTTTCCGTAAAAATTTTCATTTAGACCACTGAATAAACAAAGACAAGCAACGAACGTAACGATATGTCAATAAAAGAAGCATTGCTGGTGGTACTTTTATTGTTATTCGGTTTCATAACGCTAATCCTACTGCAAAGATCCACTGATATGGAGTCTGAGGCACACAGACACTCTGCCCAGGATATTTTATTAGGAGGATGGTCAGAACGTGATCCAGAAGACAATGAAATACAGGTTATTCCGCTTTGCTTTTCCAGTTGATTCTTATTCAACGAGACATTTATCATACCTTGCAAGTAGATAATTTGAACCTTTAATGTACAGACTTTGCTCTCAAACACGTAACACATAAATTATCGTAAGTCAATCATACCTTTTCCTTCTCGTTTCTATATTTAAATAAATCACCGTTGTATTTTCCTGTCTTTCAATCACTGTTAAAGTGTTTCTTATTTTCTAATATGTTTGAGATTTTTATATTACGCTCTACTTCTTCCATAGGAATTGTTGTCAAATGTCTTAAATAAAGTAAATCAACAGTCAAACGATGAGTACCATTTGATGCCGATCAAAGTGGTGAAAGTTTCATCGCAAGTTGTCTCCGGTATGAGATACAAGATGGATGTACAGGTTGCTCGGTCGGAATGTAAAAAAGTATGTCGCTAGAGTTTATCTCCGAAATTATAATTGTGCAGCATTCCTGTGATCTGATGAGAAATAACCAAATTGACATTTCGCCATGGAGAAAGTAGGAAAATTGAGAAGGAACAAAATAGAAGAGGAGAGGAGAGATGAAAAGAACAATTCCTCTGAATGCAAAATAATGAAATTTGAAAGCTCATTCATTGACACTTTGTATGTCGCCTTAACAGTTAAACTTTCAGAGTTCAAGTGAGCAAGTTAACCTGAAAACGTGTAAGAGATTGGAGGGGCATCCGGATCAGGTTTGTTGAATGTATTTTCAGACTGTCCATGTACTGTATCACAGAATATAATGGAGAGGGTAGTGTGAGTGAAATGTTTATTTCGTTCAATTAGTTAGACTACCGCTGATTTTGTAATTAGGTATTTGTTGCAAGGCATATATTTAATATTTATTTTACACTTTCTTTGTGCGTTAATTATTTTCAGTTTTCTAATCCCTTTCAGATTATGACATTGGACATATGGGAGAAACCATGGGAGAATTTCCTACAAGTTAAAATCCTCGAAACAAAAGTGCTGTCGTCAATGTGATTCTCTCTGTGATTCTTTTTGTCAGTTCCATTTCATAATATTATTCTCAATTCTTTGCTTCTATTGTTCGGTGCCTAAGAACGTTTATAACTGCATTGTAAATTTTTTTAAAAATCAAAGAGTTCATCTAATCGAATAAATACCTAAAGTTTATGCCAGCTTATTAATTGGCTCTTTTGAAGTACACCATAAGGCAGGATATCTGAAACTGTTGGTCGAAACAGTTGTTCAATACATATATGATTGGGAATCTCGGGAATGGAATTTGAGAGTTTCTTGTTAGCATTCTCGTTCTTTGCTTATACTTGCTTTACTTGACACATAGGTTTGAATTTTATGCTTACTCAAATATTTGCACTAAATAAAATGAGATTGAAAAGAAATGGAACAAGGAGGACAAAAAGACTGTCCAAGTAAAAGTATGCATTATATGTCGATTTCATTGAAAACGGTGTAGATCAATTGAGAAGGGAATTCATTACTTCATTGTACTTTGGTATTAAAAATTATTTCTGTCCAGTTAATTTCCGAAAGAATGTTCTGTTAAAAAAAGTCGAGAAAATCTCTAACTCCTGGTTTAGAGAAATATTTTTGGAATTTTCGAGAATCGTTCATGAGACTTGATGCAATGTTGTACACTCATAGATATTATTATTATTATTATTATTATTATCGTTGTTAGTGAAAGAACCAAGTGGCCTTTGGCCAAGAGTTTTTAAAATTTATGTAATTATTGCATGTAACCAGTACCAGTATTATATCAACTCTCCGTCATTTGCTTGAATTATTCATCTCTTACAGCTTTGGCGTGTTACAGATTTTTTTTTTCAACAGCATTTGTTTACAGGAAAAGCCATAATTCAATCGAATAGCAATGTGAGTCTAAATGGTAAGTCCTATGAACAGCTGCACAAACCAATCCTTCCTTATCCTCAATAACAAAAAAATTCGAAAATACGCTTACCCGTTTGCTTACCAAAAAAAAAAGACCGAAAAATCTGAATTGAATATAAGAAATCGTAATCCTGTTGTAGCTTAATCTGAGAAATGATGAATTAAATTAAAATTGAAAGCAAAAGCTATGTTTTTGAGAAAAACACAACTGAACTGTGATTATATATATTATTTGTTAATTCCATTCTATATGCTTATTTCAATCAATCCGTTTCTATATGATACCCATTAATAGACACTCCGCAAAACTATACATTATATACATATATTTATTTATAAATAAACAAAAGGATTCTTCATCCACTATCTAACACTTTCATGGCTTCTAAATAGCTTTATATTCAACAATGATCCAGAAAACTATTTGTGATTTAACGATATGAACAAAATGATCATTTTTACAACTGTATCATATATGCTGTGCAAATGAAGTGCGATATACCTCACAGACAACCATTTAATTTAACTTGTATCAGTTTGACTTTTGGGACGATTATGTTTTTTCATTTCGTTTTTCTACTTTTTTTTTCTATTATCCGGTGTTTTATGCCACCCGCAAATTTTCACAAATACTTTGTGAAATTCATAAAATTCCATTAAAGTGTAAACAAAAGTATAAATTAATAAAATTAAAGCTACAATTAACTGTCAATGTTTAATAAATCTAGATACTTTTACAGTAACACTTCCATCAATATTATGTGATTCTGTAAAATGTATGCTTCCATAATTCTTCCAGTAATTTATTTATCATTAAACTTTGATCCATTATAACTCGATTCATCTCTCCAGTATGATAAGAAAAAAGGGAAGAAATATGAACCAAAGATAAAATTTAGGATGAAATCAATAGAATTTGAGGAAAATTTTAAAAAAAAACTAATAAGAAATGGCGAAGGTGAAATAGATGAAACTTAAGAAATGCAAAAGCATGAAACTAATGAAATTTAAAGAAAAGAAGTAACTTAAAGTAAGCAAAATTTAGGAAGAAAAAAAAGAACAATGAAAATGTCAAATTTCTAAAACCACGATACTTTTCGGTAGCATAGTTTACCATTACCAATTGCGAGTTTAATTTGTTCATTTCATACTGAAACTTTGCAGGAAACTGAACAAGAACTCACTTTTTTTTTAAACTAAGGTCTTTCATTTAATCATGTCATTAATTTAAAAGAAAAGTCAATTACAATAATGCGAAAAATGTTCTTTTTCAAAAGCGTATTATACAAGTTTATGAAGTATATTTTGATTTATTTCAATTTTCCTCTTCCATTTTTTTATTTTCGGAAAGAAATGATTTATTCGTTTTGAAAACAAATTTAAAAAAAAGGCCAAAGGAAGTTCAAGGCTTGATTCTGGAGTGATCATTGCCGAAAACATTTCTTTTTCAGGTAGTTTCACCACTGCCAAAACTGATGGATACTGTAACAATGTCAAATATGACTTAAACTCTAGGAAAAGCTGAAATTGATAGAAGTCACATGCCTATATCAGTGCGTGGGGAGCAATAGATGTTTAAGAGAGTAATTGCGGAGACAAATTCAATTCAATTTTATTTTCATCATTTTTTTCTTGCCCTGATAATCTTTATCAATCTAATATCTCTCATTGTTCACTACAATACTATTTTTTATCAATGTAACTATTCTCTGATAACTAACCTCCAGTCTTACAGTGTAACCTACAATATATTTAATCTACAGTACAGTTTACAATATATTCAATCTACAGTATAATCTCAAATCTATGAAATTTATGAAAAATGGCTGTTATTCACTATGTTAGATATAGTGAGTGCAACATATTGTTGGCTTGAGGAGTGCACAAATGGACATCAAACTCGAAAATTGTTTCATTACAAAAAATGATATGATTTAAAGCTATGAACTGAGGAATTTATAAAAAGTTAGAATGAAATTATGCCCATTTTAAATCGTTTGTAGTTTAATCATAGATATCTCACTGAAATGGTGTTTTATATCCATTCGAATTCTTCTTTTAAATTTTTGTCACAGCTAATTAATTTTCAGAGATTGTAAAATTAACAGAATTTGATGAGGCAAGATATTTCACATCTTATAATAAAAGTCCTTATCTGAAATTTTCATTCTAAATTCTCATCTGAAAATTTCATAATATCATACGCTGCATGTAAAACTTTCCCGAATCGAAACCGATGTACATCGTTAATATGGATTAGAAATATTCCACTTTAATGATTCATTCAGAGGAATGAGAGAACAGCTTAATCAACTTTAGATTTAAACAAACTTGATAAATAATCGAGATCTTACAGTAGAATTTCAAATTTTTAAAAAGTTTGAAATTGTGATGAATATAATAAATCAAAATTTTAATATGCCTAATAAGCTTATATAGCAATTTAAAATTTGAAAACTATGTTTAGGAACAGATATAAAGTCCGAAGAAAAGATTTTTGATGAAATCATCTAGTATCTATAAATCAATAACATCAATTACAGGAAATTTAGCAGTGCAGTTTTTCCTTCTCACTAATATCGCCTCAATTTTGAAGGTTCGGAAAAATTGAAACGAAATGAAACGAAAATGTGTAAAAAATGTTACAATGGTTTGGCATAAATTAATTTGCAAAAAAAGAAACAGCTAAAATGAAATTATTCAATGTAGAGGATTAAACGGTCATTATTATCGTTGCATTATTACACGTAGACATATATTGCTGGCAGAGGTAGTTTCCCACTCCCATCTGGATGAGCAGACGATACTTTCACAATATCAGCAGAAGTGACTGAGTCGTCTATATCAAATGCTCTTTCACGAATTTCACTCTGTAAGTTCTACTTCATTTGTTTCGATAGAGAATTTCCAATGTTTCACGTTATGAAAAAGATTTTGAAATTTCCAGTAAATGTGCAAATAAGTACGTTTTTCAAAACGAAATTATCATCCAATTAAATTGATATAAATAAAGTTTGCGCAAACATTACTTTGTAACGTTTGCAATCTATTTTCAACATTAATAAGTTGTTATGTTTGAATGAAAAATGTCCCAGCATATTGTACTTGCAATAAATGTGCAACTGTTCCCTTTTTCAACGTTAATATATTTAGAAAAGCATTTACTGGATCTTTACACAATTTTCAAACAGCAGGCGGTATTATCCAGTGCATCAGTAAATTTGAATATCTTTCAGAATTGGCAAGGAATTATTCTCTTCAATATGCATTTTATCTATTTCGCCTTCATTTTCTTCCAGCTGAGCAACATTCAAACTTTGCAAGTTTATTTAAAGTTAAAAAATACAATATAAACTGCAATATTCCGAAAATTTCAAAATTTTAACAAAATTCGAGGTAGAGAATTTCATATTGTTTGAGGAAACACAAACGGAGCAAACAGAATTGCTGGATTTACCAGTGCCAAAATTGAGTGAGGAACGGAATGCACCAATAGGTTTGCCAATGCAAGGAATAAGTGGAGAAATAGAAGGATGCTGGAACGAAGGGTCTAAAAGATATAGAGAATTCATGAATTTACCATTCGAAGAAGAGAGCGTTGAATGAGAAAGTATCAGAAAAGGGAACGAATCACAAGGTAAAGTATTTAAAGAAGAAGTAACAAATTTGAAAACAGGTAGGAGAGAATTACACCCGTAAGAACACATATGTTTCTCAAATATGCAACAGAACAATTTTTTCTCTAAATTATCCACTGTGGCAGTTTCTAAAAAGAATAAATAACTTTATCTGATTGGTATTCTTTTATCAGATGTAGCAGTAATCATTAGCTTTCCGCTTAATATTATTTTTCAAACAATTTCAACATTACTCATTGTAAAACGAAGCATAATATTACTTTTCCTTCTTTTAACAATTCATGTCCGCTAATTAATTGCTTAAAATTACAAGGATGTTGACAGAAATATATCGATTTGCTCTCCTTTACTGGTAGCATTTGATGATCCTGAATTTATTGCAAATAATGGTTTTGTAAAATGCTAAAAGACTTTTGCGTAATTTCTAAAAAATTTTAAAAGTTCTGAATTTTCCTCACACTATATCAAAGTTTTCGGATGAATGGCGATGAAATTTTGTAGAATTTATAAAACGAAATACATA